ATGTATAATATCATCATGGTAATGCTCATTTTTGTTTGCTAGAGATGAGATTGTTTTGTCTTACATCACAGAAGCAACTGAGAATGCAAGTGTAGTATTTTTGTTAATGGATCTACTGTTGTAAACAAACTTATAATGCACCAGGCTTTTTATATCAGAAAAAGCCACAGCATTATCTTTCTTTTTCTTGGGGCTGTTGAGATGAAGTTTTTCTGTCTTAGTGAAGAGGCTGATTTATATACTGATGAGGTGCATTTTCTTTCTGGATTCTGCAAGAAACATCAAAAGCTCTGTTCTGGTACTACTAACAGATCAGATTGCCAACAGACAAGTCACTGGTGGTGGCTAAAATGTTATTTTTAACCAATGATCAATCTATTTGTGACATAGTACTCTCTCTTGAAGATGAGAGATAATGACTGGAATACAGTCCCAGGTTTCTTTACTAGTAGTCATACTGTTTAGGATAACTAGTTGACAATCTTCATCAACTGTGTCAATTAGTTCTCCCACTGATGCATGCACACTCTTCATCTTACTTATCTGTTAACTTCATAATACATTTTCAAGTCATTGTGTGGAATGGTATGTATGAAGCAATATAAAATTCCCAAATTGTCAACCAGATGATTTATTGATTGTATTTCATTTGATTTCTTCATAAACTCAGAAAATCATTTCTTTGTTTCTTGATGAATTTGGCTAGTTCTCTTCTGATTCAAAGCCTTTTTTTTTTAAATGCTTATGCCATTTGTATACTTGTTTACATGATGTATTATCATTACCATATTCTTCATTAAACAGATTAAATGTTTCACTGAAATATTTATACTAAGTTTGGAACAGAATTTAACATTGATTTGCCACTTGTGATGCATCATTTCAGAATTGTCAGCATAAATCTATATATGCCAATATGTTAATATTTTGTATTCTAATCCATCCAAATATGGATATTGTTGCATGTCAAACATATACAGTAGAGCCTCGATTATCCAACCCAATTGGGGACTGGGGTTGGTCGGATAATTGAAAAGTCAGATAACCGAAAAGTATGAAAAAATCTATTATTAGTGTAGTATATTATTATATCCCATGTAATTAGTATATTAGTATATCGCTATTAACCTACTTCGAGTTGAATTTTCATCGATGTTAAGCCTAACAACAATTATTTAAAATAATAATCGTCGCTACTGTATCGTTAAAAATTAGAAAATTAAGCCTCGTTTAAATACTGGCTCCCTTTCATGGTCGAATGAGTGTTACCAGCTAAAACACGTAAAAATAATATTAAAGTAACCAGACAGCCAAATATTGTAGCGCCACATCACTAGCGGACATTTGAAATTTGCCGAGTAGGACGGTCAGTTAACCGAGGTGGCGGTTAATCGGGGGTCGGATAATCGAGGCTCTACTGTACTAACATATTTAAGAAAATGTTCAAATGCATACATGTTCACAATTCTAGCCATTGCTAGAAAGTATCAAAGGTTCAGTTTATTTTTGATTCTGCACTATAAGTATTATTTTGAAACTAAAGTAATGTATTATTGAGAATACCTTAGTAATAATATCAGTTTTATACATTGCAACTTAACTTTTCATAGTTCATTCATTTAATTATCTGATAAAAATTTTTTTATTATTAAATTAATGGAATGCTTACATTAATATTTATATATTTTATAAAAATAAAGATACTGTTATCTTATAGCAGTACTTTTGTCTTACTTTTCCTTCAAATTGTATAAAAAAAAATTTTGTTAGCTTTTGCAGTTGGTATTTCTTTATTATACATAATTTCTTTTCTTTGAAATATATCAATATTTGTGATTTGTAAAATGTTTTATTTAGTTTATTTGCTGATTAGAAATAGTTAAATGCTTTATGTATTATATAATTATTGAACATTAAGCATCTTATGCCCACCAGTGGCCGAGTGGTCTTCGTACCCTAAACACTGGGAGTTCGGTCGTGGGTTCGCGCCGCGATCGGACAGGCTGGCTGCTTGGAGTTTTCCGGGTTTTCTCCTTGCCAATAACGACTAAATAGGAGGCCAGTTCCCCATAAAAGTCCTCCCGGAAGGCATTAGTTCCCCTCGCGTAACATCGCGCCCCAGAGAAGGCAACGGGAAACCACTCTGGGTAGTAACTTTCCCTAGTATACACCTTGGCGGATTACAAACCTACGCCAGGTGTCGCCGACGTCAGGAATCTGATATGGCACCAAGAAGAA